CCCATTTTCTCTCAATCCTCTGTGTTCATCCATAGCTTCAAACATTGGGGAGTCTCACAGGGACAATCACTGAAGTTTTACTCAAGATGAATAAAGGCTCTGCCTAGGTAGTTATAGCAAACCCACACATGCCGGATGGTCTGAAGTTCTTTGAAACCTAAAGTTCATTGAGTTGAGTTAGCAAACTTCCTCTGCTCCTTTCTAAACATCACCTAAAAAGTTTCAACACTTATATACCCAGTTTCAGCCAAAAATATGGATTCACAAAGAATTCGCATGTAAATCCATTAACTGGAAACACGTCACTTAAATTGCGAACCATTTCTCCACCTACAGGTCTACCACATGGACCAACAGAGTTCTGCCGATGCTGGCTGTGAATCAAAACATGAAAAAATTGTTTACTTTTAACAGACTTAGGTGCGGAGCAGCCTGTTGGATCCAAAACCATCCATCCAGTGGATCTTAGCCAATTTTTCCTTATTATAATAGTTACCACATCCGGCAATACATTATCATATGTCCTATGGATTACACTTTTATTTATGCCAAATAACATGTGCAACACTCTTTAAAACCACTTTTCCTATGTTGAAGCTTTCTGGTTAACTTCAGCTAACAATTAATAACTCAAAAAATCTAAAACCAGCACAGAATACTCATTATTTGTTAATGCTGCTATTAAAATGAGCCCTACTTAAAAAAAAAAAAAAACAAGCAACTTCTTAAATGGAGGTTTTTCATTTTAAATTGGAGAAGCATAGAAGAGTCAACCCAGCTTTCTGAATCATGACGAAGTGCCAGAGGTTCAAGCAGACACACGCACCCCTATCCCACAAGGAACACCTGCACGCGTGTTGTCTGTTTTGTTTTCATAGTGACAAGAACATCTGTAAACACATCTCAGGTAGAAGGAACTAGAGCCATCCAAAGGCTGTGCTGGCCAATCTTTCAATGTAGCCAAACAGCATGATTTCATTGGTGATAACATACACGTGGTAAATCCCTTTCACAATCCACGTTTAGTAGAAATATAGAAATGTTATATCTGTTTCAACGGTATTTCCCCGAAGGCCTTTACATGGATCTAATCATTTAAAAATTACTTAAATTTTAATCATCTAACCATTTAAAAATCAGTTAGAATTTAAGATTTTAACTTTAACTTCAATCATTAATATACTTACACTCCTAAAGTTACCCCCAAATCAAATTCCTCATCAATTTCATCATAAATACCTTTATATGAATATAAACAGTCTCTAATAAAGCCAACCACACAAAATACAATCACTGTAACAGGGATATGTGTGTGTGTGTGTGTATGTGTGTGTGTGTCAATAAGCAAATTTTGTTTTATATCTCACCTATGCTGAAAGCAGGAAACTCAATTTTCAAAAGATTCACTATAGTCATGTAACATATTTGTGTACATAGACATGTACTGAACGTTTCAAACCTAGTGGTCAGAAGGGATTATGACACTTGAAACACACTACTATTATTAAGTGGAGGCTGGTAAATCCCTTTTACCTCAAAATACAAACGCACAGTTGTCATCGTGACCCTTTAGTGCACCACAATAATTTTGTCTTAATAATGGAAATGATACCCATTTGACTCATGGGGAGGGCATTTCTGTCTTAATAAACTATCTGGCCTATATCCTAAAAATCAAACCCAAACCCAATCTATGCATTACACAATTTACTTGATTAAAATCTTGCTTTGGCACTCTTACAAGGTGAAAAAGCACAAGATATTTGTAAATCCTAATATATATGTAAGATGTCTAAAATATATCTATATACTATAATATAGGCAAATGTTTAAAATAAATTGCTGTGCTCAAGGCCAAACATCACCAAAGGTTACAATATCACTGGAGGAAATGTTGCAAATAAAGTTAAATGGCCTTTTTCTAGGAGGACAGATCATTGCAAATGTAATTAAAGTGTATCGTATTAATATTTCAAATAATTTCTGGGCTTGATCACGCCACTACCAAAAAAAATGTACTGAAGAGAAAAATCAATAGCCTTTGACCAGAGCTCCGAGAATGCTAGGGCAAAAGAAACAGTTCTCTCGTGAATTACCAAGGTCTAGCCTTTGGGGGTAGGGGAGAGTACCGATATTCATTTGTAGGTAAACTGAGTTATTTTTAAAATGGCCAAAAAAAGGAGGGAGGAAATCAGTTCAGATTTTCCATTGTAAGTGAAAGTACCGGAAACAAGCCTTTTTATGTTCATTTCAGGCCTAAGTAACTGTACAGAGAACAAGGCTTTCGCAATGTCAGTTGCTCACACTGCTTCCTGTGTGAATTCTAAGCCATTACAGGTGTCCTAAGACCTCCAGTGAAACCTATTATCAGAGGATTCCTCTGGTCCCCTCCCCGCAAAGGCCCGTACCCCGCATTTTTACTGCCTGTCTCCTCCAAGTGTCTTTCCTAAGGACCCTATCTTTTCTCTGCACTCCCCAAGTTCAAGTAACAGTCGCCCTCGGTGTGACATGTAAAAGCTTTCTCATTAGACAGGAGTAGTTCCTGCAGTTCTTTTTAGTTCGATGCTTTCAAGTCAGACAGAGAGAAGCCACTTGAAGAAAACCTGCTTTCCTCTCCAGCTTTTGCCCGCTGGGACAACGTCCGCCCCCCCCACCCCCACCCCAAGAAAAACAGCAGCGCACGCTTCCTGACCTTCTATCCCCTCATCCAATTTGGGCTTGGAGGGTTGGGGTCGCAATTTCTCTGCTGCACTGGATGTGTTATGTAAGAGGGACAGAAAGCGGGAGGCACATGCGTATAAAGCGCATCGATCTGTGATACCAGCTGAGGTGGCAGCGCTGATCTGGAGTCTCCCCCACCAATACGACAGACACCACACACACACACACACACACACACACACACACACATACATCACCCCTTCCCACCCACCCAGCCACCCACCTCCACAGCAATGTTTTCCTGTCTCACCCCTTCCAGCACCAGACGCACAGAATGGAAAGGCGGGGGGGAGGGGTGAAGGGAGGTGAGAGGAGAAGCAGCAGCAGCACATCTGCTAAGATAGCAGCCGGCAGAGCCGCCGCGGCAGAGAGCCCCTCGTTAACCCCCTTCCTGTGGGTGCACGACGTCATGGAACATTCCCGGAACGGGCCAACGTTCCACCCACTTCAGGGAACAGACATAAAGACGCGGACCCAGCTCCCCACCGTGCACAGCCCAAACACACATGTCCCTTCCCGGTCCCCGGGCAGACGCACAGACGAACATGCATGCAAACCGCCCCCACCGGTCTCCACGCGCCCCCGGCCAGCCTGCGCCGCCGGGAGCCGCTCTGCGGCCGGTGCACCCGCAAGGCGAGGGCGCCTCCGCCTGAACCTTCCATCAAGACAGTCCCCTCCTTCCTCGCTTCCTTCCTTCTCTCCTTCCTTCCTTCCTTCCTTCCTTGGCAGGAGAAAGGAGTCACTGAAATGCCAACAGCCAGCGCCTCTGCTGCGCTCTCTGGGCCGCAGGCCGGCGGCCCGGCCCTCGCGCCGCTCCCCAGCCCCCTACTCGCGCGGCGCGGCCGCGGCCCCCTCCCCCGCTACCTGGAGACTGGCGGCCGGCGGCCGCGGGAGCCGCAGCTGTAGCCCGGCGGTGCGCGCCGGTGCACGTCCCTCATTAGTAACCAGGCACATTCCTGCCTCCAGCTCTCTCGCGCGGCCCCCTCCCCCCAGGACATTACGCAAAGCAGCCTCCCCTCTTCTGCATAGATCCGCGGCCAGGGTATTCCCCACATTTCCCAACGCGCCGGACCCCCCTCGCGAGGTCTCCCCCCATCCCCTCCCCCTCCGACCCTCACCCTTGGGAAACCGGGAAGCAACGGGGGACGCGCGCCCGGAGGGGAGATGGAGTCCGGCGGAGGCTATTTCGGTATAAAGTGAAACAAGCTCCCCAACGCTCCGGGAGGCAGGAAAAACACGGCGCCGAGGCCACTTACCGAGCCGAGGAACCTACATTTATGCCGCTCTGTTTCCCAAATGCTCAGTCCGCCCTCTACGCGCCCCCGGGGTGCATGCAGCACCCCAAAGTCGAGACGTGTCGGACTGATGTCAACGAGCCATGAGACCCTTCAAGTTGCTCCAGGGTCCTGGGAGCCTCAACCTCCAAGACGCAACTTGGCCAAGACTTGTGCCACAGTGAACGGAGATGTTTTGGTGGAGACCCTCCTCCAGTGGGGAGAGACGGCGCTCCGCGGCGCCCCGCTCGCCTGCTCTCCACCCCCTCACCTCCCGCCCGCCTCCTGCCCGCCGCCCGCCTCCGGGCCGCAAGCCCCTCGGGCGGCTGTCAGTTCTCGGCCGCCGCCGGGTGACAGGGGCGGGAGGAGGGCGCGACGCGGCGGCCGGAGACCGAGCGGGCGAGGGGGATCCTCGCAGCAGCAGCGGCAGCCGCTCACCTGGAAAGTCACCGCTGAGTAGGAGGAGGACGGAGAGGAGGAGGAGGGAGAGAAGGTGGGGGAGGAAACCCCCCTGGTGCCCTTGTTCTCGCTGCCGCGGCGGCCGCTCCTCGCCCAGGCTGAGCGTGTCTGGTGGGGGGTGTCTGGTAGCATTTCCTTAAGGACACAGAGAGGGCGGGCGCGGAGGGAGGGAAGAGATCCTGACCGCCTGCCCAGGCTCCTCTTCCCTTTACTTATTTTTCTGACACTGTACGGAGACGGGCCGAGGCAGGGGCCGCGGGGCTCGGGAGGGAGCCGAGGGGCCGGGCCGCAGCAGTCCGCTTGCGGGAGCCGCGGCGGCCGCCTCCCCTCCCGGTCTGTGGACGCACCGGGTTATTCCTGGCAGCGCCTCCCCGAACAGAAGTTACTAGGAGGAGAGCGCGGCGAGGGCGGGCGGGGGGAGAGGCGGAGGGAGGGAGGGAGGAAGAGGGAGAGACTCAGCCAGCGACGTCATCGGATCCCCCAGCGCGTCCCAGGGAGGGAGGCTGAACCAGAAAAACCAGTCTGGAGCCGGCCCGGGAGAGAGGGATGTGCTGCCGCGCGCGGGGCGACCAGCGGAGGGAGGCGGCGCGGAGGACAGGGCCCGGCCCCGCCGCGGCCGCCCGGAGCGGAACGATCGTGGCCGCGCTCCCGCTCGCTGGGATCCGGGAACTCCCTGGAGAGCGGGTTTCTACTTGTTCTGCAAAAAACACTTGGGCGTCTCTAGGAGCCTGAGAATTTCCTTTCGGGCTCTGGAAACCTCCTCCTCCCCCCACCAGCTATCTCCCCCACTTTCCTTATAATCATTCCGGGTCTTGCTAACAAACGGAATTATATAATAATTAGTATTGTCATTAGGATGTTGTCCGTGCACCTCTGATCCCTTGCGTCTCCCTCGTCCCCGCCTCTACTCACGGTTATGTTATCAGTCAAGATAAACAAAATCAGACTGTACGTAGCTCCTGGCTGCGTTTGCGGAGCTTTGCAAAGTGTTTTGACTAGCACTTTCCGTGCCCCTGCGGAAGCACGAACTTTTCTCGCGCTCCAAATGCCCAAATTGCCTTCCCTTGGGGTCACTCACCAGGGCGCCCTGGGCGCACCCAGCTCGGGCACTGCCGACAGCCCTCTCCGCAAGGTTCAAACCGATTTGGGCAGCGGCTGCCGGTTTCCTGGTGGGCCGGGCTGGGACCCCGGGCGAGCCGCCTCCTGCAGTCTGCGCGCTCCGCTCTCCTCGGAAGGGACGCGCGTGAAAACACACCCTACGCGAGGAGAACGGGGCCGGAGGGCGGGGGAATCCCGGGCGAGTGGGGGCCGGAGCTCTGGGCTTCCTCCCCAGCGACACCCGGGGGACACCGGGACTCCCTCGAGCCGTTACCCTGCTTGTGTGGACTCGTGTGAACCCTCGGGGATGGTTCCCAGAAGGCCGCGGCGGCCGGAGAGCCGCGAGTGGCAGCCAGGCGGGGCTAGCGCCGGGACCGCCTCCTCCGGGTGGTCTTCCCGCCGGGCAAGTACCGCGCGCACCCTCCTCTGCAGTCGGAGCAGCCGGGCCAAGGCGAGCGGAACCCCGTGCCCCGGGCGCCGCGGGGCCCGGCGGCCCAACCCACCGCAGGCCGCGCCGCCGCCCTGCCAGGGGCGGAGTAAACAAGAGACGCAAGATCTGACCTGGCGCGACCCGGATTTCTGGCCGGGGTTCCCCCTGAGCAGGTGACTCCGTGGGAGGGGTGGAAATTAGTCTCTGGAATTCCGGGCCAAGGACATTAACTGTGGTTCTGCTTTTAAAGCAGGTATTTCTCCAACTGAGGGATGCTTCGCCTCTCAAATTTCAGATTTCGCGGAAAAGGACCACATATGGAGTCATATCAGATATTCTTTTCCCTTTTCAATGAAAACTCATCAAAACGGAGGCAGCCCCTTTAATGTCTGTGACACTAGCGCTGCTAGTTTCCTTTTTGTTTTGCTTTGTATTTCACTTCGACCTGCGATCGGTGTATTGCTGCGGGTCCCTCTCTATCCAAAGCCGACATCGTCATGAAGGACGACTGCAGGTAAAGCGATGGGTACTTATTTTATGGGTATTTTTTCCAAAGGAGAACAATCTGAACAATGTGGAGTAAGTTTCCCTGTGTCCTTTTAGGTTGATCTCATTTAAATTCACGGCCTACTTCTGCTTAACTGGCTCCTTTCACTGTGTAAGTTCCTTATTATTCAGCCCTTCTTAACTTGATGCACTTAATAAAAGTTCCCCCAATCATCATTTTCTCTTAAATGTATGCCGTTGCATTCTTCAACGTCCATTTAAAACGCAAAACGCGATTTCTGAGTTTTTTTCACTTTCAAACCCACCTGCCACATACTCCCAGAGTCCATTTTATTTAATTGCTTAATGGAGAAGATTAAGCAGTTTCTTTAAGAATTCAATTTCCCTTCAGCACACACAGCGGCTGCCCACGCTCCCACAAAGTAAGCAAAGGAAGTAGCAGGCAGCTTTGCTTCTCTAGAACGAATGAATGTCGACATCCTAAATGCCTCTTTAAAAGACTAGACTGAATGGTGGGTGTAATGTGACTATTAGAATACTCAGGTACTGGGGCTACTAAAGTAATTTTTAAAGCAAATATACATCTATTTTGATGACCTGATCCTACCACCAAAGAGGACCCCCGCCCCACAGACAATCTGTAGTCAAAGTTGGATTCTCCTTACCTTGTTCTAAAATCATCAGGTTCTAAATAATATAACCTGAAGCACATTGATGCAGAAATGAAAATATCTGTGAGGATGTGTGAACTTGATGACATCCCTCTACTGGGAAGAATTACTCTCTTTCAAATAAATGCATCCCTGTCCCCAGTCCCTAATGCTGCAATATGTCTGTCCACTTGCTTACTTCTAAGCGTAACAGTAATAAAAGAACTCCTCTTCCCAGACATCCTCAGAAGACAAAATCAGCCTCGGTAAACTGCACTGGGCCCAAGGAGGCTCTACGGAAAGTGGGGCAGTGTGGGCAGAGCTGCCTTGCCTGGGCACCCATAGGGTGCATCAACAACAATGAAGCAACTTCCTTTTTATTACTCATCTTTCCTATCACTTCTCACTTCAAAGGAAGGAAAAATCTAGTAGCCTTGGTAAAATAATTAATTTCCACATGGCAGTATGGCATTTTCTTAGTCAGAAATCACTTCAAACTGAAAGCACCTTCATTCAAAGAATATTTGTCAAGTGCCTGCCGTGTGCTAAAGATACGTAGGATACATCAGTGAACATATCCCTGGTTTCCTGGAGCTGGCATACTAGCAGTGGGGGCTGGGAGTGGGGTAGAAACAGGATAGAAAACAAATATGAGAAATGGACAGTATGGAATTTGGGAAGGAAAAAGAGTTATGGGGAGGGGGACATGAAACAGGTTAAAGAATGTCTGTAGGGTGGGGTTTTGTGTTGCTATACTAAATACAGAAGTCGGAATAGGGCTTGCTGAGAAGTAACATTTCTGCCAAGGCTTGAAGGAAGCACTTGAGTACTGGCAGTCATCTGGGGTGAAGAGCTTTGCAGGTAGAAGGAACAGCTAGGATAAAGCTCTAAGGCCAGAGCAGCAGGCCTGCCCTGTTTGTAGACCTCAAGGGGAACAGTGTGACTGGAAGAAAATGCAACAGCCAGTGAATGGAGCAGCCTCCCAGGCCACCCCCTAAGGACTTTCCTCATTCAGGAAAAAGCTTGGTGAAGGACAGATTTATGGACTTTGCCACCCGGTTCCTCCGACTCTGAATCTGAATCTTTGTGGGCCCAGCAATTTACGCTTTTAACAGATACTACAGTTGATTCTTAAGCATTCTGTAAAGCTCAAACTCTACTGCCTTCTAGCATGTAGGCTGACAGACCCCGCAGGAGAACTGCGTGCCTGGAAACCTGTGTTCCCAATAGGACTCATTCAGTTGCAAATTTAAATCTTCCACTTCAACTAGCTGAAGGATCAAAGGGACTTCATTGACTCACAACTGGAAGGACTAAATTTCAACTCAACAAGATCCTGAGGCTCAAATGGTGTTACCCTGCCTCAGTCTTTCTACCTCTCTTGGGTTTCCTTATCTCTCCGACTCATTTTCACTTCAGACAACCTTTCTGCAGGGTGGTGGCAGGAGTCCCAAATTACCTCTTCTCCTAGTTGAGCAACGCCAGTGGGAAAAGACCTCCTTCCCAAATAGCTCAGGCAGCCTTCATCACGTCCTTGTACCTGAGCCAATCACTGGACTTGGGGGATGGGGTGGTCTGATTGGTCAGACCTGGGCGTGGAGTGCAGGGTGGGCCTGGAGGGAAGGGCAGTTCCCAGAAGAGAAAAAGAGGAGCTGTCTAGGACATCGCATGGGGTGTCCGCGGCAGCCCTTAAGTTTTTGGCCTTGGTTTCTCTCTCTCTCTCTTTTTTTTTTAGTTAAGGGGTTGATTAAGGTCATGTGCCTGATTCCTTATGACTGTAAACTCTTTATAAATCTCTGTAATAAATCCCTCCATACAACTATGCTAAATAAATTAACTGGCATGTCATCCCCACAAATAATATGTAGTACTAAAACATAGAACAATATATAAGTATTAAAGGGTTTATCTGCTGTGGGATTCACATGAATAAATGGAGCACAGCTTTGGGTCGTGGTAAAACGGGGGTGATTTAGAACTGCCCTTCCGATGGACCTCCCACTTCCTACTCATCCACAGTAGTTAGTACATAGAGAAAAATGAAGCCAAGTCATGATTTTCATGGTATGAAGAATACTTAGGTCTCCAGAAATTAGTTAAGGAACAGAATTTTGAAGGAAAATCTGCCTGTCTGTTATATTGTTAATACGATATAAGTCAAACACACTAATGTAAACCAGGTTCTTTATTCCACTATAACCTCCTTTGATAGAAGAGTGGAGGGAGGGAGTGGTAAGTAAGGACCATCCAGCCAGTCACACTTACTGAGATTCGAAGTGATATCTATTAGGACTGAATGATGAGGTGCTCATCCTTCTAGCTTTCACAGAATGGGGGGAGCTCAAAGACACCCAACCAACTACATGTCACCTCTTACTCCCAGAACTTCTTTAGGTATATTCCAAAGACCACCCACAGTATCATCTCTTGAAACACTGATTTAAATGTCGGGGCTTCCCCCTAAACTTATAAAATCAGAATCCTCGAGATTAGGGCCTGGGGAGCTCCATGGTGAAAAAGATACCTCTGGTGACTCTGGTTCTCATTAAAACTTGAGAAACATTGATGTACACTTTGCTCCTAAGATCCCCCCTACTTTCTCCTCTATTATATTTCTCAGGTTCCACCCGATCTTTTATGGCAAATTGGCCCTTTTTGTTCTTCAAAGATATTCTTGGGATGGTCATTGTAACCAGATTCATTTGTGTAAAAATATGTTAGGAAAAGAAAAGCCTCAGAGGAGTAGGGACAAAGGCATTCTAGAGCGCAGAATTAGAAATTACAGGGGGCAGGAGGGGGGAGGGAGAGGTGAGTTGGTGGGGATGAAAAGGATGCAAACAAACCTCCGATGCCTTTCTGATTTAGCTTTTTAGGTTTTATGGACTAGCTACATCAACAGTTTCTAGAAAGAAACTGCACATTTCAGCAGTACAAGCTACTAATGAAACTAGTTTCTTACATCCCAGAGAGTGAACTCAAGATATGCCCACTTCAGGTCTCTATCCTGAGGAAGACTAGTTCTCTGGTCTCTCATGGAACACCTTCTTAGAAAGGAATCAGATTAGAAAAGAATCCGTAGTAGAAATAAGACTCTGTCCAGGATTGCTGAGGCCTGAACTGCTCCCTTAGATGCAGGGGAACACGGGTTTACAATTCCATCATTAAGAACTCAGGAGCAACGCATTAGCCCATCCACCATGCTACTCTCTTCCACCACCCCCTCCTCACTCCAAAACCGGGTGTAATAGAAATTCCTCCACTTAGCAGTCACTGCTTGAGGTTAAGCCTTTGAACTACTGAAATCTTCTGTTAACAATCCAAATATAAGTAGCGAGCTCTTAATATCCTAAGCTCTTAATAAGTCATTAACGTCTTCTGAGAGATTAATTTACTAGATTACTTTTCCAGAGTGACAGCTAGCCTAGGACTCAAACTGATTTATCTTGACAAAGTATAAGATGGGGTGAGACAGAGATCCAAAGCTTGGGCAGGACTGTTAGGGAGTACACAAGAGGTCTAGGAATTGAACACAGACTGATGGGGAAAGGATGTGGAAATGGGAAGTGAGAGACAGACAAAGAAGCAAGGTGTTTGGCACCAAACTGAAGGTTCCTCTGCTCAGGGCCTGTGGACAGGGCGCAGAATGATCTAGGCTTCTTAGGAGCAAGGCAGGTGGCTGTCAGCTCAGAGCACAGGTCCTGGCTCTGACCCTGAACTAACAGGAGACTTGCTTCCCCTCTCCAGGCCCCTCCACTTCCTCACCCAAAATACAATGGGATTCCTTACAGTCATAGACTCTGCACATTAAACCGCGAATGATCCAGCAGGGTCAGGAGAAAAATAAAACATGAAGGTAGGAAGAGAGGAGAGCAGAACGGAGAAGAAGAGGGTAGAGAGCTCATCAGAGACCTTCATTTTCCCAGCGCTTGATGTGGTTTCTTAGGGCAAAACTTCAATTTCCAGTTTTAAGGAATGAAGGAGATAGAGTTTTGGTTTAACCCAGTGCCATATAAATTTGACATTCAGTCTGCTCAGAAACAAGAAGAGTTGTTTGTAATTATCAGCCTTAAAGTATTTTGTGGAAAATATATTTTTCTTTAATTTAGCCAATGAAGGATTTTATTGCTACCCTAAACTTTTAGGATTTCTGAGAACAGTGACTTGACCCATTCCCAATCAATCTTTTGGTCAGCTCTCTGGTATATTTGACACTTTTTTATATAGTGCTGAACCTTGGGTTAAGAGGAGAAAATAAAACAGAGTTAAATAGTTGTCACAAAGCTTGTGCAGTGATTCATACCCTTATCTAGAAATTTTATGTAAAATATGGTAGCAAGCTGACACAACAGTAACAATTTTTTGAATTTAGGTAAACAAAATAAACAAATCATAAGGATACGGCTCCATTAATTTTTGCGAATCTGTATGTATTTGTGTAACCACTACTCTGGTCAAGATGAAGATTATTTTTAACACTCCAGAAAGCTCCCTGGCGCTCTTGCCCAGTTAATCAGTATTCTAAATTTAATCTCCATAGATGTTACTGAATGAAGATATCTGTCCACTCATCTACCTATCTCCAAAACTAATGTATTGGGGCTCTGTGAGGCTTTGTTGGGGAACTGATTGTAATCGAACTAACAAATAAGACCATTTCATATCATGAAAAATAAAACAACGTAACTGATAGACAGTAACTGGGTGGGACAGCAGCACAACATTGGATGGGGAGGGGAGAGACCTGCAGAGTTGGCATTTTGGCTGAGAACCGGCTGGTGAAGGGCAGCGAAAGAGTGCACCGGGAAGAGAGAACTGAAAGTGTGGCGTCCCTAAGACCAGCAGCCGCTCAGGGCCAGAGGAACTGAAAGGCCAGTGTGGCTGGTTAGGGAAGGTGGCTCGTCCTGAGACATAACATAAGAGAAGCAAGCAGGAGCCAAAGGAAAATTCCTTTATAGGGAACGGGTTGGCAAAAGGGGGATAGACATTGGAGATAAAAATATATTTGGCATATTCTATTAATTAATTTTTAAAACTTTTCCCAGAAAGAACCTTCAGAAAATTAGTAGTGGCTTCCACATAGGACTTACAGCTGGATGGCAGGTCAGCAAAGAAAGAATTTCAAAGCAGAGGGCCTTCTGAAAGCATAATTATACAGGCTGAACATAACAAAAGGAAAATAGTTTTTAAGGTAGCAAATCCTAAAGAGAATTTAGATAATGTGGGTGCTATTCTTCCCATTTTTCTATGGCTAATTAGAGAGAACCGGGAAACTCAATGCTGCCCACAGCCCTGCCAACCCATTACGGGCACTTCTAATTTCAGATAAATGACGCCCTCGGTTACCACCCCCAGCTTGTCTCGGAACATGCTTTGTATTATCAGAGTTGACGAGTAAAAATAATAGCCTTCTGAATATCTATAAAGGGTACCTTTCTCTTAGTAACAGGGACTTAAGTTCAAATCATGTCTCCATGTTAAGGAAGCAGCTTCCAAATTTACTTGGCTCTTGAAAACCTACATTTTCAATTTCTCCCCTTTACAAAGAAAATGTGATATTTGGGCCACTTAGAGCACCAACAGTTTCATGGGCATGTGAGCATGGAATGGAAAAATTAGTGATCATGTAAAGTCTGAGAGACATGTATCTCTTCAGTAAATAAATTCCAT